TGGTCTCCAATCATGACCACTAGAGCTAAAGGAAAAAAGAGACAGATGGAATGATTTGTATTGTTCCTTTATAATACTGGATGGTTTTCTCTTTAAAGCTTCAGTTCAGTTCCTTCAGCTCCTTCATGTGAAGGGTAAATAAAAATAGCAATTCTTAACAGTTGTTTGTTTTAAATTAAATCTATGAAAATTAATTAAATTAGTATAGAAATGTTGATAAAAGTAGATTTATAATGAATACTAGTATAATACGTGTACTGCATAATTTACTAAGTATTTTGAATACAAACTTGTTAAAGATGTTCAATTTAAACATATTCTTTATTACTAAGACTGCATGGGAAGCATGCTTGTAAAGTTTTTTTTTAATCTTCCGACATAAAATTTCCCTTAATTTTACTACCAGTAACTGTTTGCACATAAACACCCTTCTTAACATGTTTCAGTCACATATAACATTTATAATTAGTTACATTTAAAAAGAAATACTGTGAGGTTAACTTAATTATTTTACATGTAATATAAATTTAAAAAAGGTTTCAAGAATGCATGGACATTACTAAAATCCAGTCCACATACTTGCAAATTGATTAAAATTTAATTTATATTTAGGATTACTGCAAAAATTTACATTACTGTGAATTTTATTGCACTTCTATAAATCATTTGATGCATTTGTTGAATAGTCTTAAATTCAGTAAATTAAGGTTTTATCAAACAGTGAATATTTGTTGTTCCTATTTTATTTTCATATATATTATAATTATGCTTTAAATCAATTATTATTAACATACATGCTTAACTGGTTCCCTTTTCTTTAAGGCCCCTGCTGCCAAAACTCAGAGACGACAGACGACTATCGTCAAGCCACCAGGTGGCAGTGTGCTGGGATCCTCCACTAGTCGTTCTGTCGTGTCATCTAACCTTGTGACCCCGTCACCAAGGAGACAAAGTCGCTTATCATAAATATTGGAAAAAAACTATTATTGTTGGACCGATTTATAATAAATTGGATTTATTTATTTGAATGCAAAACAAGCAAATCTGTGATCACCTGTTTGAAGTGCCTATGTTTTTAACAATACTTAATGTTTTACTTTGTTTAATTATGTACTTTATATTTAAGCTAATTTATTGTTCAGAACTTTTTTTATACACGAAAATAAATTACGTTTGTTCAAGATGATGTGTCTTTTTTTAGCTCACCTGAGCCAAAGGCGTAAGTGAGCTTTTCTGATCCTAATTTGTCCCTTTATATCTGTCATTTTTGTTGTCATCGTTGTTGTAAACTTTTCACATTTTCATCTTCTTCTCAAGAACCACTGTGCTAATTTCAACAAAACTTGCCACAAAGTATCCTTAGGTAAAAGGGGATTTAGGTTTGTTCAAATGAAGGGCCTCACCCTTCTCCAAGGGGAGATAATTATGAATTAGCTAAAAATTAATGATATCTTTTAACAAGAGGCCCAGGGGCCACATCTCTCACCTGAGCGCATCGTCTAGGAAAAAGCACAGATCAGGTCAGAACTGAAAAGTTTACTGAGAAGGGGACGGGTCCTACCCTCCCTACCCCAAAAGGCTATGATTTGATCAAATTTAAATCTTTAATACATGAGGATGCTTACATGCTTACATGTCAATATAACTAAACATAGCTTTTCTGTTCTTCGGATTTTTCCATTATTTTATTTTCCATTATTTTTCTATGTAAAACTTTGATCGATCTTTGTGGCCCTGCCCTGTCCCTGGGGGTTATGATTTGAACAAACTAAAATCTACACTAAAGAGGTTGATTCCATATAAATATCACTAATCATGGCTTTGGAGTACTTGAGAAGAAGATTTAAAAAGATTTCCATAATTATATATTTCTATGTAAAATTTTGATCGGCCATTGTGGCCCCGCCCTACCCCCGGCGGTCATGATTTGAACAAACTTCAGACCTGTTTACTCTTACGATTTCGCCGTATTTTGTACGGATTTTTAGTCTAAAATACGTCTCACGTTTTGCCATTGTGAAAATACGGAAATCGAAAATACGTTAGTTTGGAATTTATAGCTTTTGTTATGATCTGTCTTAGTTTCACGCCTTTTATTGCTAAAAAAGAAAGCGATTTCAAACTCATAAGCGATGCCAGGTTGCCAAAACGCTGTGGTATTCTAAATTGACAAAGACCATGACGTTAAACCATGTTTTTTGTAATCAGAAAAGCAGTTGTTCACTATTAATATCCGTAAAATTGATGGAAAGTGAAATCTTACTGGCAAATGCCAAATCTCACGGACAAATCAAATCAAAAATACTGAGAAACAATGATATGGGTAAACAGGTCTGAAACTTGAATCTACACTACCTGAGGATGATTCCACATGAGTATTATCTTTCCTGGCCCAGTGGTTCTTGAGAAGAAGATTTTTAAAGATTTTTTCCTATATACTCCTATGTAAAACTTTGATCGGCAATTGTGGCCCCACCCTACCCCTGGGGGTCATGATTTGAACAAACTTGAATCTACACTACCTGAAGCTGATTACACAAGAGTTTCATCTTTCCTGGCCCAGTAGTTCTTGAGAAGAAGATTTTTGAAGATTTTTTCCTATATACTCCTATGTAAAACTTTGATCGGCCATTGTGGCCCGACCCTACCCCGGGGGTCATGATTTGAAGAAACTTGAATCTACACTACCTAAAGTTGATTCCACATGAGTTTCATCTTTCCTGGACCAGTGGTTCGTGAGAAGAAGATTTTTAAAAAATTCCATTAAATGATAGATAAATGATAGATAAAATACATGTATACAGATTAGTTAAATAATGTGCCTAGAATTAGGGAGTGAAAGGTAGTTGATTGACAAATGCTAGAAAGTGGAAAAATTTTCCCCAAAAGTGCGCAAAAAATATTGCACCGTAAATTGCACCTTTTTGCATTACGGGATTTGTAGCGTTATGACCTAAGACAAATATATAAAACCATAACGCTACAGATCTGCAGCTAAAAATTTGTTTTTTTTTTTCATGTTTGATAAAGTCTCTGTTAAGTGCATCAGAGGCTTCCAAAAAAATTATCTAAAGTTTTTCCCGAAACTCTCAACCATTTGACTGTGTCTGACCACGCTTTCCTGTGTCCAGGGGAGAGTATGTTGGAAATATAATACAAGATTTACAAGTTGGCAAATTATATAAATAGATATAAAATGTTTGATCCAAAATAGAGAGAGATTTATCAGTATTGTTACCAACCTACGAGGATGGTTTTTTATTTAGGGGGCGGGGGTAAATTGAATTTAAAGAAATATGGATATTAATTTAGTAACTCAGAATATTCCTGATGGGCTTGTCAGTAAGAGGTTTTGGATTTTTTTTTTTTTTTTTTTTTTTTGTCCCCCGCTTTCACTGAAAGTGGTCGAGTGGAGGATATTAATTTGAGTCTGTTCTGTCCGTCTGTATTAGACACCATGTACTGTTTAAATTTTTGACTATATCGAACGTGAATATATACATGTATGTGGCCTAATGTTTGCATAAATTTAAGAAACAAGCGAGTGGCTCAGTGGTGTAGAGAGCTTTTAACATGTGAGAGGTCTCGAGTTCGAATCCTGGACGATTCAGTTATATTTTTAATACCCTTTTTTAACTAAATGATAATATTCAGCATGTGAAATGAAAAGTTATGACGTCTGACTCGTACAAACTCATAAAATCATCATTACAATCTGATAAATATTCTATATAAAAAGAATCTTCTTTACACATAATATTTATTATTTATTTTGACAAAAACCACATGTGGCGTAAGTCATACAGTAAATAAATATATAGTTACATAGATTTTCTGAAATTAAATGCATCACGTATGAAGTTACAAATATTTCTTGTAGATTTAACATCTGCTGGATTAAGAATTTCATAAGATATACATGTATTATTAAAAAGTGTACAAAATTCATTTCTTGGTTATTTATTAAGAGGACATACAAATAAAAAATGATGTTCATCTTTGACAATAGTTTGACAATGAATGAAATACCTTTCATCTCTTGGTATAACTGGGTTACAATATCTGCCAACCTCTATCTGTAATTTGTGGGCACTTACTTTCAATCGAGTCAAAAAAGAACGAAAATTCTTGGAAATGGAAAAATTAAGGTATGGTTGAATTTCAAGTTTGTTTAGATTTCCTTGACTTATTAACAAGGCTGTAGAATGATAATTTACCAACACCTTTTTTCTTTTATATTTATTATATCCTTAAAACTTTATTCTCAAAATACTTTCTTTTTCAAATTATTTTCAAAAATAATCATTTTTTGATTATGTATTAGCATTTGAACCAATAACTTCATCGAGTATACGAGTTGTATACAGTGAGCTTTCCCATTTCCTGCAAGTTTTTCATTCTCTGAATATGCATGTTTGAAAAGTAAGTCATATACGGGGTCTTCAAGCGTAATTATTGAGTCCCACTTAAGGTCTGACAAGACGTTCCTCAAAATCTGTTTTGTATGTCTTCGTAATGTATGAAAAATATTCAAAATTTTCATAACATTCTGATTTCTAAAGCAGTTTCTAGACGTTTTTAAAAAATCCAAACACTTAAACATTTGAAATTAGAAAATTATTTTTCTTCCCCAAAGGATTATATAAGAAAAACTACCCCTGGTATCTTGCAGAAATGCCTGGTAAGGTACCTCAATTTTTTGTGAGTTAACATGTTTAAGTAGCAACACTTCAATGACAAACTCTTAGAAAAATTTATCTATTATTAAGGAACGTCTCGTCTGTCCTTAAACTGACAGTGTTGTGTCCCCCCTCCCCCAAAACGATGCTTTCAATGGGGGCTCTACGACACTACTTTGACAGGTAAATGTGTTTTGAAAATTGGCTATTACATGTACGTAATTTTATTTTGACACTGTCTATTACATTTTGTATACAGTTTGCACACGACAACTACACACGGGCCGAGGAGTCACTTAATTATGGACCCTTTGCACCCAGCACTAAATATTTTGTGGGAACTCACCTTCTATTCTTCATTCATTTTGCGCCGAATTCTCCAAGACACTAGACAGATAACTTCGAAGTAGTAAGGTACTGTATTTTTTTTAAAGTGAATAATTTTATTTTAAAATTTAATTGAAATTCAATATAACTGAGTATCCAGACTGTGTGTACGTGAATGTATAATCTGATTATGGCTTTTGAGAGTTAATTGCGACATTATGAAAAAAAAATATAATAAAAAATCATTTTACTTTTCTTTCAGAAGGTATCTACTAATAAAAAAGAAGAATGCCTGCCACATGCAACTGCACAGAAAGTAAGTCGTACTATCTTCAGTTGTTCAGTAATCATAATCATACAAAGCAAAAATTTGGATACATCGCAGTGGCGGATCCAGAAATTTTGAAAAGGGGGGCCCAACCATTTTGGGTCAGGGTAGGGGCCTACAGCACCACAAAAAATAAATTGATTTATCAAATATGTATTTTTTGGACACAAAAGGGGGGGGGGGGCGAGCCCCCTCTAAATCCGCCAGTGCACCGCCATGTTTAGTTATATTTTTTAGATATATTTTGGGAGTAAATACGTACTAGTATATCAAATCTCTGAAAATAAAAAAAAAATAGTTAATTAACTTAATTCCCGATATTTTCGCCACCCTCCTTTTTGTTTTTATCACTTTACAGAAAAATTTTGAGAAACTTCTGATGAAAAATTCATTATACTTAGCCCATTCAGTTTTTCCTGTGTTTAGCGCCCACCAATCATTCAACACCTTCCTGGCTATATGCCAAAATACCCCACACAATTTGAAAAATAAAATTAATACAGACTTGAAAGTCATGAAAATTATGTATTTCTCGAAAAATTAGATCTGTTATTTAGCAAAATCAAGAAAAATACAAATAAGTGCTTAAAATACACCTGCTATGAGTCTATATATATTGACCATAAAAATAGAGAACTCAACAGAACCCAGATTTCTGCCAAAATACTCGGGATTCGAGCTCCTGCTTTTGCTTGTTTTATCTGATATGAGTTGTAAAAAACCAAAGAAAACACTTGGAATGGTCTTGCATAGATCACACTGAGGTACTTTTTTTTCGGAAGAACAATTATTTTCTTTTGGGATTTTCACGATTTTTACCTATATATTATATGGTACACATGATGAATAAGTGTAAAAGATATAATTTTGTGAATAAATGTCCAACAAGCCCCGGGGTTGGAGGGGAGGGGGGTTTACTATTCAGAAGTACCTGTGGCATAAATTTTAATTAGATGCATCGTCGCTCATGAAGATAAATATTTTAGAAGTGTACTTATTAGAGTTATTGCTCTTTGACCTGAGTGTTATTTTTCTCAGGTGGAAAATGCCAATGCGTGGAATTTCAAACCTGTCCACCAAGCGTCTGTAAATGTGGACCCGGATGTAAATGTGGAGCTGGGTGCACGTGTACTGGATGTCAGCTGAAGTGCAGCTGTAGCGGTGAGTTTAATTATATATACGTTAACATACGTGAAGTATTGCGTCGACTGTCAGGTTATACGAAATACTAGTGAGTTTGGAGATCTTAATTTAACTCGCTAGCAGGGGAGAGAGTTATGTCCAGTTCAAATAGGTTTGGGGCGGTTACATGTACTCTGAAATCAAACACAACGAAACGCTAATTAATTAATAGATGCTACGTACTACGGTACTTTATCAGTTTATTCTGCATGTTCAGGCCACAAGATCATAAAGAAGAAATGTTGAAGTCAAAACTTCAGACGAATATAAATCCTGAAATAATTTTGATAATCAAATATTTATGTGCTTAAATTTAAAATTTGTATATATGCAATTTTTTGAAACATGTACATGTATAGCTGATGTGGGTGCCTATCATTACCGCCACAAAAACATTACATTACCGCTACCATATCCGTTGATCCGCTCACATAGATGCTACACGAGGATCCCTTGTATCGATCTATGTGAGGCGCGGATCAAAGGATATGTTTTAATCAGATTGCGTTAATTGAAAATGCAATTATAGAAGATCACATGACCGTGAAAAGGATAATCCCCCATTGGCCAACAAAGAAAAATCTACCGATACCTGAGTATTGCTTTATTTTGACACTAGACATCAAGTTTCAATTCCCAACTGCTTAAGTACTTTTCTCTTCCTTTGCTAAAAGGACAAACCAGTAGAGCTTCAGTCTCGACAGAGACTTCTGGGTTTTTTTTATCCCTTTAGCATTGAATATAAACGCAGTTTCGACCCCATACTCATGTGGAATCATCCTCAGGTAGTGTAGATTCAAGTTTGTTCATATCATGGGGGTAGGGTGGGCCAAAATGGCCGATCAAAGTTTTACATATATAGGACTATAAAGGAAAAATCTTTAAAAATCTTCTCAAGAACCACAGGGCCAGGAAAGATGAAACTCATATGGATTCATCCTCAGATAGTGTAGATTCAAGTTTGTTCAAATCATGACCCCCCGGGGTAGGGTGAGGCCAAAATGGCTGATCAAAGTTTTACCTAGGAGTATATTGGAAAATTCCTTTAAAAAAATTCTTCTAAAGAACCATTGAGACAGGAAAAATGAAACTCATGTGAAATTATCCTTAGGTAGTGTAGATTCAAGTTTGTTCAAATCATGACCCCCGGGGGTAGGGTGGGGCCAAAATGGCCGACCAAAAATGAATTCTCATAGGAATATAAAGGGAAGCCTTTTAAAATCTTCTTTTCAAGTACTCCAAAGCCATGATTAGTAATATTTATATAGTATTAACCTCAGGTAGTGTAGATTCTAGTTCGTCCAAATCATGATATGTGCTTTTTCCTAGCTGATGTGCTCAGGTGAGCGCTGTGGCCCATGGGCCTCTTGTTTGATTTGATATCGAACATTCTGGCGAAATTTGGTTAAACTAAATTAATACTGTTGCGTTTTCGTAGTAATGTATGTGCGTAGGTGAGTCTTTTATTCATTGTATATATAAATGTTAAGTATATTTTTAAAAAAAGCAAGATATTTTACAGAGTTTCTTTTTTTTTTTGCAGGTAATTGTGCATGTGGACAAGGCTGCACCGGACCTGAATCTTGCAAATGCGCAAACAACTGTAGCTGCAGAAAGTGACGAAATATATATTATACATGTAGTAATGTGGTCTCAGGAATATCTTGTATTTCACAACCAAAGAACAAAATAAATTTTCCATTTAAATAAATAAATTGATTTTCGATCATTTGTCATTTTATTTGTGGATCTAGTATATGCAATTATTTGTAGTACTAATATGTACTTTTTCTCAAAATTTACAACGTACAATTTTTTAAGTCAGATTTGAAAAAAATTTGCAATGTAAATGGTATCAGTGGTTATAATTGGGGGAATGGAAGAGGAGAGAGACACCCCCCCCCCCCAACATTCGCACAGTGAGGGAGAGATGTACATGTGTCCCTTAAAGAACTGAAGAACCATTTTTAGCTCACCTGAGCCGAAGGCTCATGTGAGCTTCACGGTTCGAAATTTGTACGTTGTCTCGCGTCGTTGTCGTAAACTTTTCACAAAACCATCTTCTCGAGAACTACTGAGCCAGTTTCAGCTAAACTTGTCAAAAGATATCCTTAGGTGTAATGGGGATTCAAATATGTTCAAATAAAGGGACACGTATTCTTAGGGGAGGGGGTAATTAAGATTTCATGAAAAATTAATGGCATCATTTAAAAATCTCGAGAAGCATTATGCTTGAAAATATAAAACTTACTTGGTTGCATTCTCAGGTAGGGTAGATTCAAGTTTGTTCAAATCATGACCCCCGGGGGTACAGTTGGGCCACAGTGGGTGATCAAAGTTTTACACAGGAATGCATAAAATATTTCAATAATTTAATTTAATAACATCAGAGCCGTGATTGACCATATTTATATGGAAGCATCCTCAGATTTTCTTCAAATCATGACCCAAGGGGGTAAAGTGGGGCCACAGTGAGGGATCAAAATTTTGCGCAGGAATACAAGAACAATACTTTAAAAAATGTTTTCAAAAGGTACCGTATAAGTAGAATATTTAGCGAGGATTTAATTTTGGCATTATTAGCGAGGGTACCGAGATCGCTAAAATTAAATATCGCTAAAACACCGTGTATATCCCAACATGCGGGGTGTATACTATGTTGTGCGCGGGGTGTATGCTTCCGAAGCGAGAGAAAGGGGGTCAATGTAGGTTCTTTGTCCATTTTCTCAACTTACGGATATTTTTCGCCAGAAAGCATAAGCCTACGGAAGAAAGCATTATCTAAGGAGTATATGGATACCTATGAATCCACTGGACACCTTCTAGTTTTCTCAAACACCTCAACACAATTCCGAGGATCGGAGCAAGATTGACGCTACACTGTGTTTATGATCAAATATCAGGAGAAAGCTTTGCTTTATCATCACTTTTATATTATTGTTAAATACATGTTTACTATATAAACTTTTGTACAAATTTTCTGTAAATAAAACAGTTCGTATATAAAAATATTGACGAAAAATCAGTGTTGTGTCCGGGGTGTATGCAACATGTTGTACGCGGGGTGTATACCCCATATTTTTCTAAGATTGTTATTGCGAAGTATCTATGGAAATATTATTTACACAGGTTTATAGGCGACAGGTAGTGTTGATAAAAGACCTTAATACTAACGCCCAACCAAAACGTCAAGTCCATAAACTTACTGAGGTATAAAACAATTGAACTAAATTTTTACTAAATTTTAAAAAAATCAAAAGAACAAAAAAAAAAATTAAAAATCGTATTCAGACATACTAGTAATAGGCGCTAGATGTGCAAGGAGCGATTATTATCTGAATTAATGCTACATTGTAGATGGCGCAATGGTCTAAATCTACGTAATCATAAAATATAAAATCTCTCCAAAGGGCCCCCTCCTCAATCGCTGCATTGAGGACACTTTCTTCGGATCGTTTAAAATCTAAATATTTCGCCTGTTACAAATAATAGAAACACTACATGAATGGTGTATTATGAATAAATCTCTTTTTTGTTTCTGCAACTTTTATGTTATTAATACATGTATTATTAAGCATTTATAACAATGATTTAGAATCTTTTTGAAGAGGGGGGGACATAAGTTGACTAGCTATAAAAAGGGGGGTATCGAAACTCAAAACTCCAATTTCAGATGGGGTTGAAGGTCCCATCTTTTTTCAGTAACAATTATCCTTTTTTTCCACTTAAACATACTACCTAATCATTGTTTGACTAAGCTGCAACAAAAAAAAGGGGGGGGGGGTAACTTGACTTTCGATGAACATTTTCTGTAGTGAAAAGTTGTGTCTGGAACAAAAAGGGGGATACTACGTATTTGTATGATATGTTAAATTAATTTTCCTTTCAATTTTTGCAATATCTGGACTCATTTTTCCATATCTGAAAAGATTTGATATTTTACAAGCACAATAAACATTTATAGCCAGCTATAGAAATGCACATTTGTAATAAGGGACGACAATTTTCTTAGGGCATGCACAATTAAAAATACTTTTTTTGGTTATAATTACAATTTTACGTTGACGTGTAATTAATAACAATTAATGCTAACCCTCCTCTAATTTATTAGTAAAGTTACCCCCCCCCCCCCCCATGACCTAAGACACAAACACGCCCTCCCCGGGCCCGTTCCTAGAAAATATGTACTCAGTACAGTACAACACAATGCCTCATTATAAAGCAAAAAACGTTTACTGCCAAATGTGAGCTCCAGGGGGGCAAAGTACACAGCATATAAATACTACATGAAGAAAAACATTTTTGCAGAGTTTATGACGTTACAAAAAGCTAAATATTTTCAATAAAAGGGGTGTGGAGATAACGCACAGCATCCAATCTTAAATTCCATAAACACTACAAAACAAGAGCAGAGCAAACACGGACATCCGAAACATCAGAGGTGAGATCAGGTGCCATGAAGGAGTGAGCATCCCCTGCTGACCGGTCACACCTGCCGTGTGCTCATTGTCACTGAAATAACGGAAAAATCCGTCATCAATTCAGTGTATAAATAATGGACTAACAATTGGTATGCAAAAAGGCAGTCAGCATTTGACTCGATGATAAATTTTATTTGCTGACAAGGTCATTGTATCCATCATAGAACTTACGAATTGATGACTTTAAACGAGACTGCTGATATTCTAGTTTCATCAACTTGCTTGTCAATAATTTACCTCGTTTTAAAAAATGTTCATAGTAGAGCATGCTCTTGGGCATCGAATCAACTGAAATATATACACTCCATATGAAGTATCAATTAAAAAATGTTGAAAAAGGTTAAACAGGAATATGAGGAAATGTTAAATGTTCAAAATGATGCATGTGTGAAGTATTTATTAAGGAATTATCTGAATAAGGTGTCTTTAAGGACATACGCAACGTACCTCACCTACTGATAATTTTTCCAAGATATTCTAAATTTAAACTTACAATACCATTACATGTTCTTAGACAGAAAATCAGCATGCGTTACCAGGGGTTTTGAAAAGGTATCAAATTGTGAAAATTTTTGCATTATTCAAAGAAAAATGCACAAAAATTACAGAACAAAAAATCCAGACTTTTTTCCCTCAAAAATTGTTTTAGAAGAGGTGTACAAATTCATATATAGACATTAAAAGTATTGCAAACGGGTCCTTCATTTAATGGAACTCTTCAACTCCAGGGAAGAACCCATAATAGTCTAGTCAATCTACTGAAAAATGAGAACTAATTGCAACAGTATATATTTTAGTGCAGATCTGTAGATAAGCTATTAGTAACTCACATATAAAAAGTTTAGAAAAATTCACTCAGGGGAAAGTTGGGAAATCGAAAGAATAAATTTAGGGATCAATATGAATTTAGAATTACCCATTTGCACACCGTACTTTTTCTATATGAGCTTTCAGCCTGTAAACAATAGCCAATTAGCATTAAAAGTTGTTGTTTTAACCTGTAGTTTGTTATGCAATCAAAACTAAATCAAAAATATTATATATTTTGATTTTCAAAGAAGTTTTGACTTCCACATCGGCTAAATACCATCTACACAATACCATTCATGTAAACAAAAAATTATGGAACACTGTTTGTATTAACAATATACATGTATGTAAAATTCCTAAATGTGAATGTGTTTACTCTCATTTTATTTGTAAACACCTGATGGACATTTATACCCCAGTAGTTTTGGAATTTATACACAAGAAACAAAAAATGTATGGAACACAGTTTGTATACAAAAAAAAGTCAAAACAACCTTTTCTAAAGAATTCTGCAAGGAAGCTTATCAGACAAGTACAATGTATATCAGAAATGTTACAATTGTATCATCACAGAATATATTTTGATTAAATATCTAGAAAATTTATAGAAATTTATCATTTTGAAATAAAGAGTACAGAATTTATGTAATCACATGAACAGAATTTGATTTGAAGGTCTCCAAGTTATAAAAAATCAAATATTTAATTCCATTCAGGCATCTCCGGAATTTAAATTTGAACTGTTTGATTCAAACAGTTTCTTTGCTCTCCAGATTTACTGCTTATTGCTTTTGTAAAGAGAAGCGAACCTTATATAAAAAGCCAATCGATATTGACCTTTTTCTCTATAAAGACTGCACCATGCATCTATGTACATGTACAAAAGCTGCATTATGTTTATAGTAATGGAAATAATTCAAATGGAATCGTTTAGACAGAATTAAGTGCTCTTTTTTAAAATTCCTAATGTAACTTTTTAACAAAATATTTTAAACCCATTTTTAAAAACTTAACTTCTCCTTGTAGATCATATGGTCATTTTTGCAACAGTAAAATGCCTGATGCAGCACTTATTGAAGCTCCATTTTATCATAGGCACTCCCCATCTTAATTGTTTAAAAAAATATATCTATTATACTACAAACAAAACAAGGCATGAAACTACCCTCCATGTTGGATTCCGCTTAGGGGCACTTTCTGGCTAATAGCGAGAATTTCTCGCAAAAGTCAGGTCTTTCTCAGACATCGGGAGCTCTCATTTATTGAAATAAAATCAAATCAGACTGAACCTTGCAGTATGTTCGCCGCATTCACGCGTTTTCTAACATTTCTCTGAAAACCACCTTTCCTCGGCCGGAAGTTGAGAGTTTCGCCGGTTTTAGACAATTCGATCGTCGTTGACTTTAATGGATTATTTAAAAAAAAAAAAACTGAG